TTCGAAGTTTCTCCAAAATCGAACCCGGAACATGTATATCGGTTTTTCGATAACTCCTCTAGTTATTGAGATAGACGGCGAAAACGCCCAATTTTGCCCACCCTGTACAATGGAGAGAATAATCGGGCAGCCTAGGCTGACTCCCGAAGAATACAACTGCCAACCGCTGAAGAACCTGTACAGACTGGTGCAGGGAATAAGAGTTAAGCTACGGAATGGGTGTTGTAAAATAAGCTGGAATGCACAAAAAGCCCAGGAGGTTGAGGTGTAGCCTGTCACAGGGCCAGCATCCAAGGAGAAATAAAGGCCAGGGCATGAAGGAATCAAAGGAAATGAGCCAGCTGATCGCCTTGCAAAGGTGCAGCATATGCACTTTTTGGTCCTGAGCCTTTTTCTGGGATAAGCAAATGTCACCTGAAGGAAGAACTCAGGAAATTGTAAGAAATTGAAAAGTCCTCCTACTTGAGAGCAACTCCAGGTCAACGACAAGCGAAAAGGTTCATCAACCATTCGCAGAACCGAGCCAAAGAGCTACTCAGCCTCAGCAAACCAGAGCTAAAGCTTATCACAGGTTTTCCCACAGGACACGGCCCTCTGAGGTACCACCTCTAAAAGATGGGCCTGGTGGAGACTGACACTTGCCGCTTTTGTAACAATGCGAGTAATGCGACCGAAACCGCGGAACACATACTTTGCTCATGTGAAGTATTAGTCCGCCAAAGGCTGAACCACCTAGAACAGGTCTATCTCACCCCTGCTGAAGTGGAAAAGTCAACCGTCAGGAAAATCGTAGGCTTCATCAGAAGTCTAGGTTTAGAGGACCAAAACTAGACAGGGGTAATCACAATAGATCTTCTAGGTCGCAGTGATCGAGAGGTCTCCCAGCCTATACGACCCATCTACAATCTACAAAGGCCTTGAAAATCTGAATATTTCAGATTTGTTCACATTTTCGAATTGAGCTCGTTTTGAGTACTACATTATGAAATTATTGTTTTTGGAAATCGGTCGACGGGTTCCAAATCGCACACACTGTATGTAATGAAAAATCTAGTTGACAAGTGGAAACAAAGACAGAACGTTTCCTATAATAAATGTTCAATATGACGGCCAAGGTCATTCCACGAAAACATTGAAATGCACCTGTTTTTTTTATGTTAACTTCGAACTTTTCTCACGGACAAACGGTACATTTTGGGATATAGATGAATTGGGTCCAATCATCTCATTTTGATCTCTATTAAACGTGGTAGCTACTTGTCCCAGAAATTTTGGAACACCCTGACAGGTATATTCTCGTTTTTGTCGAAAATGTGTCAGCACATATCAATTCCGTAGGCATTTCTCTGCCATTAAAGGTATATGATCCGACTGAAAGCAAAAAGGGATCGCAGAACACATTTCCCTAATCCGATTCAACGAAATTGCGTAAAAGAATATCCTGGAAAAGCGAAGTTTCCTCGAAAGCGAAAATCGCCCTTCTCCCAAGACCGGAAAATCCCCAATCTCCCGGATTCCTCCTGCTCCTTTCCGATATGACGGCGAGGATCGTCTGGATCTAGCCGCCCGTGGCATAGGTTGATTGGTAATTGTTTCCCGAGACGCCCAATCAACGAGCGGGCGTAGTGGTGCAGAAAACGGCACTCTGGATCCGCTCCTTCGGAATAACAATGACCATGGATTGCTGCGATCTGAAACGCGGCCGTCGAGCATCCGAAGACGATTTGGAATAAAAGGAAGCGTTACATTCGATGTTCTCCTTGCTATTTGATATACCCGTTTGTTTATTTATTCCGGTTGTTTGTAATTCTAAGAGGCGTCTGAACTGTCATTCTAAAATAATAATAATATAATAATAATAATATATTTATTCATTCCAGAACAAAACAGTGTACAGTGTGTCCAGTTTTCGATGCTTTTGCATGATATCTCAGTTATCTTTTGAGATAGAACCTTGCGGTTTTCGCGGTCTTATCAGATTTTGCATGACTGTTTCCGTTTATGAGATACAGGGCGATTTTGAAAATTTATACTATTTTTACCCCCCTATATCTACGAAGTTCATCAGCGAAAATGTCAAATTCAAATCTTAACCCATAGAGAATTTTATGCAGAATGCAGTGGCGCACTACAATTTTTTTTTCGGGGTATGGTTTTGAAGATACGACTCAAACTTATGATTTTTTTAATTGAACACCCTGTATTTTATAAGCTCATTAAATTCCTCATTTCATCCCTTCGAAATGATATATGATGTATAAATATAAAATTGTCAAAAATGTTCAAAAATCACTAAAACATTAAATTTTAATAGTGGGCTATGGGTTTTTCGAGAGATTTTCATATAAAGAAATTTACAATTGAAGGAATATTTCCTTTGATTGTTCCATGAAGGGGGTAATAACAGTTTCAACACTTATCAACTTACAAAACACAAGACTTGGAAACCTGATATCCACAAATATATAGTAATAAAAAGGACCTGATTAAATATTTACTAAAACAATTGAATTTCGAAATTATTCAGTAATTTATTCATTGAATTGTTCAAATTGATGTCCATTTTCCATCACAAACTTTCTCAATACATTGAATGATGTCTTTGTAATTCCTGGAAAACTTCCTCTGTTGTTGCGAAAAGTTCTTCAAGTATGTTGACCCACTTTGTGTTTGTCAACTGTATGTTAGGGAAAATGGACATCAATTTGAACATGTCAATGAATAAGTTACTGAATAATTCCGAAATTCAATTGTTTTAGTAAATATTTAATCAGGTGCTTATTCTACATTACGAACTTTTTATTACTATTTATTTGTTGCTATCAGGTACCCAAGTTTAGTGTTTTGTTAATTAATTAGTGTTGATATTGGTTTTAACCTCTCCATGAAAAAGTTTAAAGAAATATTGGAACGTTTTTTATAAGAAAAATCCATAGTCAACTATCAAAATTCAATATTTTAGTGATTTTGAGCATATTCGAAAATGTTACATTTATTCAATATATATTACTTTGAAGGCAAAAAAATAAGGAATTTAATGAGCTTATGAAATACAGGGTGATCCATTTAAAAAATCATAAGTTTGAGTCGTATCTCCAAAACGATACCCCGAAAAATAAAATCAAGTGCGCCACTGGCTTCTACGTAAAATTCTCTATGCGATAAGATTTTGATTTGACATTTCTGTTGAGAAACTTCGTAGATATAGAGGAGGTCCAAAAAGTATGAATTTTCAAAATCGCCCTGTATCTCATAAACGGAAACAGTCTTGCAAAATCTGATTAATCCATCTTGAGTTTCACAGAAAAGTGGCACAGGATCGCGAAAACCGCAAGGTTCTATCTCCAAAGATAACTGAGATATCACGCAAAAGCATCGAAAACTGGACACACTGTACATAGAAACGAATTAAAAAATTGAAATGAATAAATGAAAGATACTCGATAAGTAAATGAATTCTTGTTTCGAAATACTTTATCTATTATCACACTCAGATAAAATCATGGAATAAGATGATGCATCTCAACAGTTGAACAGAACAGAGTCAAGAACAACTTTAACAAACACAGAATGCAGAATAAAATAAACTTGAGATGAATAAATATGAAATATCAAATATTTAGAAATAAAATCGAGAATAAAATCAATGTATAAGTAGGTATTTATGAGCATATTTTATCAACAACAAAGTATAGGTACTCTAGAATTGAGGGTATGTAGAAGCATTATTCAGGTTCTCAGTTCTATGATGTCGTTGCACCACGTTCTTGAATTGAACATTCAGTTGTTGAACAATGGTCAATATACTACTCAATACTCGAAATGTGAAATAAAAATTTTTCGAGCGATTTCGATTCATCATTACTTTTGACATTCTGAATGTTCGTTTCATTGACTATCGAAACTATATATGGAAATGATTATTTCATCTCTTGAATATGTGATTTTCTATATAGTACGATAAAAGCTGATGTGCAATTTTTCAAAAAATTCAAAGGCCTTCTTATTTGGATGGCACATTTTTCTAATATTTTTGAGGTGAAAATCACATCGCACCACCTGTGATCTCGAAAAACGGAATTTTTGGAATCGTCACACTCATAACTGAAATATGAATACTTTTATAAGATAATGCATAATTTGACGCTCTAATTTCTATTGTGTGTGTTCTGATTCAAACATTGATACAGGCAGATGGTGCTCAAAAAAACATGTTCTATTGAAGAATCATTATAGAAAACTCGTGTTATTTTTTATGTACAACTTTCATCATTAATTTATTCATATATCAACATACTGGATATATTTTGTAATATCGTAACCTGTTCGGAATTTGTAGGATGGTGGTGATTAGGTCCTGTACCTAGATGATTTCGAGAAATCTTCATATTTTCGCACTCTGTATAATTTCGTTTTCACCAAATAATCATCATGTCTTCCAACATGAAGATTGGTAGCGTCATCTGAGAATAATAAACATACCTACTCTGGAAATAAATTACAGTTGAATTTGGAAGCTTTTATATCGACATAAGAATATGTTTCATTGCCAGTCAGAACTTCGGCTTCCAACGCATAGATGGCGGGTCACTGTATTGCTCTACTCGATCTGTTTCGTTGGCTAAAATACGTCAAATACGTTTAGTTACAGTTTTTCATTATATATCTTTTTTTATTTCCATAGATAATGCATATAGGGTCAAGGCTTGTCGTTGTTTTATCATGAAACCAGAAAATTATATCGCCAGAGCCTTTTCATCTACTTCAAATATTCCTCGATAGATGTCATTTTTGCAAAATGTCTACTGTCAAAACAACCGAAGGTCGAAGTTGATAAACAAAACAAAAATCAAGATCAAATAATCAAACTCGGAGCTCAAACTAATGATTCAGATAATAAACAAAAGGAAGTGCAGATAAACGGGAATTCACAGTTTTTGAATGAAAATAAAGAGTGATGTGAATCATTTTGCACCGGAGAATCAAATGAATAGTGAAGAATGAAACACATTGTGGGGAAAGTAGTGTTATTGGGTTACCAAGGTAAATCATCAAATTGTTATTGTTGTAATTAAAGGTCGTAATAATATTGTTCTAATGTAATCAATTATTTATTATTATTTGACTAGCTAAACTAATTGAACTATTGACGATTATATAGATGCTTATTAGTGCATTATTTATCTTTAATCAAGTCTTTAATGGAATACCTATATATAGTCATAACATATTATATATTATATTATATATAGCTTGATATAAGTATTATCCTTTTTTATTAGTCAACAATTTTAGTAACGCAGGGTAGATGACTAGGTAGGTAACTGCAAAAACTCCACAAACGATAAAAAAAAGGTAGGTAAAGGTAGGAAATGAAAATTTATAGAATAATTTTGGATGGATGGAAAAGGATTTGATCCAAGTAGTTTTTTCAAGGAATCAAGGTACCGAGGAAGGTTCCTACCTATGAAAGTTATTATATAAAATCTTATATAAGCATACTTACTTATACCTACTCAATTTTATGATAAGATCTGGAGATAACATTAGTTCCAGCATTAGTATGTTATAGATGGGTATAATATCAAAATTCGAATTTTCATTATTTTGAATCGTAGAAAATAAATGCCTAACTACCCATGTTGTTTTGAATTTTTTCAAAAATTGCTAAAAAGTACCTAATTATATATTTTTATCTTCTCGTAAGATGCATTCATGGCGCATGCAATCAGTGCATCTTTGGAATTATTTGCCAATGAAAGTATTCCCATGGATCAAAATATAGTTTATTTTTCCATCGCGACAAAAAGCCATGTGAACTTTATATAAGGTAAATGTAATCTATTTTAATGTCAGATGGGTTGAAACTACCATCATTTATCATTCGGATAATATATTATGTTGGTAATAATGATAAAGATGTAGTTTTTCGTTTTTCCGTCCCAGTCCGGAAACACGTACTTCTCGGACTAGGCCAGAAAAGTGCTTCTCGAAGGAAAATTGCCTGGAAAGTGGGTATACTTTTCGGACGGTTGCAAACTATTTATTTTATTTTTTTCATGAAACATCAATCCAAACGTTGTTATCACTATTTTGTTTTCTGTCACAGGTGTTGGTAAAACTTCAACTGTAACAAGATACGTGGAGAACACTTTTAATCATCATGTCACACCAACAGTTGGGGCATCATTTTTCAGTTGCAAGATCAAAGTCGATGAAAATTATGTTACATTACAGGTATGGAATACTTTTTTCATGAAACTCAAATATTGATGTCCATTTACCATGAAAACAAAAATATTAATAAATGCAATGCCACCGTGATATCCAAAACACGTGACATCCAAATTTATTCTGCAATCAATGAGATTCGAAATCCGAAATATATCGGAATTGTATTACCTTCCTGCAAATTTCTTCAATGTTCATCCACTATACATACACGATTATAGTATAGTAGTATTAATAGATACATTTTCCATGACATCCAAAACAAAACTATCAGGAAATCTCAAAAAATGAACTGATGTCACATATATAAATTTTGTGACTTCCAAGTCACATGCCATTGACACCCAAATACCTTGTCATAGAAATTTTTGTTGAAATTTTCCGATATTGGATATCAAGAAAAATTTCAACCACAGATTCTAGAAACAAAAATGGTAAGACATTTTTCATGCCCGATTTGGAAATATTGAGAATTTTCTGAAATTCTGATCAGGGGCGTGGGAAATAGGTGGGGCTAGGGACATTTCTTCCCCCAACTTTTTTTTCAATGCAATTTTCGGCAGTTCGATCAGGTTAGGTATATTAAAACCTATCTTTTGCAAGCGATATCTAGAATATATCCCTCCAGGGGTAGCTGGAACCACCCTCAACATGATTTTTTCATATGTAACCCTATGGCTTGTGGACCTTCATTGGAAAACTGGTGGAAAGGGCGTACTATAGTCTAATTTTAGTTTTTCATTCGTTCAAAGGTTGCATAAAATTGAGATGTAATTTCAAAATTCATTTTTTTTTCAACGCATCAATCGCTCAAAATGTATGTTGAATAATTATTGATGGCAATTTCTTGCCACAACTGCTATCTGCGATTGTATTCCAGTGTTTTTATAGAGCCGCTAAAAGAAATTTTGTTTTTTGCCGTATTCACAGTTCGAAACGAAGTGTTATTGCCAAATGGTGGAGATGTCCTATATCACTGTCGCTAAAAGTAGACGTTTTGTTGAAAATATATCAAACTTCGAAATTATATTTTGATTTCATGCGACCCCCAAACGTACCGTAAACTGAAATGCTGGATTCCTCTTTCAACCGCAGTTTTCCTATGAGGGGTCGCATTTCTAAAAAACATGTTGTGGATGATTCCAGCTACCCCTGAAGGGGTATATTCTCTATATTCTTGATAAAAAATAACACGTCCCCCTACCTGACGGCAACAACTCGAACACTTCTGACCGGTTTGTTTTGATGATGTGACCAATGAGCACAAACAAAAAACAAATGTGAACCAATGAAAGCAAAGTAAAAAGGCCGCTTTGACAGCTTTCACGAACTCCGATTGGTGGCGTATGCTTATTTTCTATCGCGAATTGCTCGCGAAATGTACGTTGGCGTGTCTAGCGAATTTTCAGAAAAATCATTTATTTCAGTTAAAGTCTCCACCCTATATTCACAAACAGAATTCTTTTTTTTTTCAGATTTGGGATACAGCAGGTCAGGAACGTTTCAAAGCAATGGCGCCGATGTTCTACAGGAACGCCAACGCAGCTTTGCTAGTTTTCGACATAACCTCTCCCACCTCTTTTGAAGGTATGAAGATGTGGGTGCAAGAAGTGAAGCGAAATGTCGAAGAGGCTATGGTACTCTGCGTTGTCGGAAATAAGACTGATCTCAATGACCAAAGAAAGGTGAGAGAAAATATTTGAATAGTAGCTAGTTACATTGCTCATTTATGACACCCAAATCAGTGTTATATGAAATCCCGAATTTTCACATGACACTCAATATTTTAATCTGGAGATCTGCAGACCCCTACATCTACAACGCTGCAAAGTGGTACTACAAGTAAGCCACTTCGCTAACAGATGGCACTACCTGACTACTTGAGTGGAATGATCCACCAATCCTATTCATAAGAGATCTAACGCCACTAGATGGCGATAGCATGACTAGATCATCATAAATTATCCGGCGTCTTCGAAATGGGCGATTCACCCAAAGCGTTGAGTTGTCGCAGTTGTCAGCTGATCGAGGGCGGCTGATGACTGTTCATCGTATATCTCTTAGTTAGGAGATCTTGTTCAACAAATTCGAACTTCATCTTATAATACGACACGATTAGGTATTTGCCACTACTGATCTATTCAGGCTGGAGGCCGGCTCGAAGGACCAATGTTTTCAGGCAAAACACACACCCACACACAAGCTTTGGATATTTTGTTATTCTTGTTTTCCTCACGACGACATCTTCCTCTTCTATTGCCTTGTCTGTTCTTCTGAGTAAAGCAACTCTACATCACTTGTACAGGATGTATTCGAAAACACCAACCGAAACTACGACCTTCTATTTTGAAATCTAAACAAACTACTTCGGTGCTCTCATTATTGATAAAAAAATTTTATATTTATAAATTATTTATTAATATTTATAAATATTATTGTTCATCTTTCCTTTAGTAGAGTAGCGATTGCAGCTGTAGGATTTCAGAATTCCCGCCTTATTCAACTGTGAAACGGTGACATGCGCATTAAAGATCTTGGTCTCTCTGAAAGATGTATTACCCTCTTCTTTCAGGTCATCCTGATATAAGGGTAGCACTCACATTATTTTCGCCCTAATCTAATATCACAGAAGCATTTACCGTTTTTCGGGAATTTTAGGTTTCCAGAGAGGAAGCAATAGAATATTCGAGGAGTATAGGTGCTATTTATTTAGAAAGTTCTGCCCTGACTGATCAGGTGTGTAAATCTACAAAGATTAATTGCATTTTTCATCAACCAATTGAAATTATGCAAAAACTGTTTTTAGGGGACTGGGTTGATTTTCGAAAAAATTGCCCAAGAGCTACTGAAACTGTCCGGTGAGGGTTCTAGTAGCACCCTAAAGGTTTTCGATAATGACTTTATGGCCAAATCTAGTGAGCTAGAAGCTACCGATATCGGTACAGAAGAGAACGTGAATTTGAGCATAGGAAGCATTGCGCATGGCAATTCGGTGCAATCGAGGTGCTGCTGAAATTTCGACAAATATATCCTCCTTGGGTAGCTTCAAGAGTTGGAATTGTCATTGTCAATTGTCAAACATTATGCATTGTGATAATAGGTTGCGTGCAAGAACTGTCAGATGACCGACCCTGGAGGTTAAACATTGAGACACAACCTCACTTTTTTTATTTGTTTACAAGTGATTGAAATAGTTTTTCACAAATGTTGGCATACGAATCGTGTTTTTCGGCTATTCAATAAATCGCGTATGCCATCACATTGTTCTGTTGTACAATGCACAAACAATGCAGCGGGAGACGAAGGAATCCCGTTGGTACATTATGATTCAGAAGTAAGTATCTACTATTGTCACTCACATATAGTTTTCATTTTGGAATTTGGTAATTTCTCTGATTTCTCATCGGAATTCCTTCTGCAATAGGACATATACAAAAAGTGAGGTTGTGATTCAATTTTTCACAGAAGAGTGAGGTTGTGATTCTATTTTTTACCGCCAGGGTCGGTCCTCGTGCACGCGACCTATAAAGGATATGTTCCGTAATCAACCGGGGTTATATACCGATGTTTTCAGGGCCGGTACCAACAATTTTGACAGTGGTTATCTACTGGTGACTACGTTTGTGGGTTATTTACGGAATGCCAGTCATTTGTCGAATTATAGTTTTGATCGTTTTTTAAAAAAGTATGCTCTGCCATTATTTGATTTCTAATTATGGCACCCAAAAGTCCCTAATTCTTGTGCACAGTAAAAACAATCAAAGGATTTAGTGTCCAAATAGAAAACAACGTCTTCAAACTGAAAATATATCGAATATTATTAATTTATTAATATATTAATCAAAATGGGAATATTGTTCTTCATTTTCATTTGTAAATCGAAGAATCAAACCGAAAACTAAAACACGTCTTCGTCAACTAAAACTAATTGCACTTGTCAGAGAAAATCCACGGTCGTTCTCGTGATAGTGAATTTACCGCTTTTTCAGCAACCAAGTTTTCGTAACTAAGCTTTTTCCAGGAACCAACCGAACATTTCATGTTTACAGAACGGAAAACTACTAACCGAAATAACCAAGTTGATTCACGGAACATACCCAAAGAATAGTGATGTTTTTTTTGTCTACAGGGCATACATAATATGTTTGTATCAAGTTTTGTATTTGACAGGATGAATAGCGTTTTCAACATCAGTAGAAGCACAAATGCAAACCAACATTTTCCAGTGAGATTATGTTATATTTTTTCCCGCTTCATAAGTTGATATACCTGTATGTGTCTCATATAACACCCCATTTTCTTTTTCGCTTCAGTTATGGAAACGCCCTATATATGATTGCAAGATATTGAAAAACGATTCTGAAATCCCTGTATTGTATATACATATTACAAATTTCAACCATAAAGCAGTGTTTATTTAAATCGAAAGCATATCAGAGTCAATATCAAATTGTCGAGCAAGCAATGACAATCTGTTGTAAACAGTAAACATATACATGTTTTTATGTAAAACTATACAGGATGTCCCAAAATTGCAGGGACACAGAGCTACCACGTGTAATGGAGGTCAGTATGAGTTGATTTGACCCAATTTTTTTATATATCAAAATGTGCCATTTGTTCGTGAGGAAAGCTCAAAGATTACATGAAAAAACACAATTTTCATCACAAGAAGACAAATTAATTATCTTGATTTTTTTACTCTAGTAAAAACTTCGTTCTCCCCATATTTCCGAAGGAAAAAAATGTTTCATTGATAGTAACATTGTAATAAAATAAAATTCATTTGACAGTGGAAACAAAGGCAGAACGTTTTTTCATAATAAATTTTCAATGTGACGGCCATCTTCATCGGTACACAAAGGTCAATTCGACGTAAAAAAATTAAATGCTCCTGCTTTTTTATGTAAACTTAGAAATTTTCTCACGGACAAACGGTACATTTTGGTATATAAATGAATTGGGTCCAATCAACCTATTTTGACTTGTATTACACGTGGTAGCTCTGTGTTCCAGCAATTTTGGGACACCCTGTATATTGAATTTTTTGATGGTGCTCTTTTTTCTGTTTTCTCTTTTCCCTTTATAAAAGATTGACAATATTTTGGGAAAAAAATCTGCAAGTTGACGCGAACTCCGAAAAAAATTCAAACAATTGACTACAGGAATGCATTTCAGTTGTATTTTAGAAAAATGGATATTTTTGTTAGTGATATTGAAAAATGATAAATTGATATGGTACTGATGATTTGATACTTATGATTGTTATGGACTTTAGATATTCTGTTACGATTTTCTTGAAACTGAACAGGGTGATTCACCATAAATTCCCCCTATGCAACTTTCCTGTTTATGAAGATGATTGGGAAATTTCAGAAGCCAGTTGGTGGGATTTTTCTTAATCATTCTCAGAGTGTACTAATAAAAAAGTAAGTGAAATAAATGAGAGAGAAACTAACGAAAAACGAACACACTGTATCATCCCTCTCTGAGTTAAAATTAATATTGTTTAATGTACTCATTTCATAATATATGCACATTCAAAGATATATAACTTGAAAACTGGATATTTCGAGGGATATTTGAAAAATATCCCATCAACTGTCTGTTGAAGTTTTCATATAATCTTCATGAAGTATAAGTTACAGGGGGGAATTGAAGATGGATCACCATCTGTACAGGGTGTTGCTAATTTGCTGTTGGTATATTTTTAGAGGTGGTTGCTGGGGTGAACCAAAGAATGTGGTCTAGAATAACTATATTTCAATGTTGAACTCTGAAGATAGTTTTCTTACAATATTTCCTACATGAAGTCATATTTTGTTATAGGGTACTTGTTTATATTTCGAAAGCAATTTCTTCGTCAGCAATCAGACTCTCAAAATAATACCTACACGTATCCTAAATTTATGACATTCTGATTTTGATATTTTTCCATCTGAACACCCTGTACCTATATATATAAATATTGATAGTGAGATTATTTGGTTTATGTGGAATACACATAATGTTGAATCATGTATAATAATTGTTCCAAGTTTCATATTATTTTTATTATGGAGTTTTTTTTTTGGTAAAATACAGAAAAAATAATGATATAGTTGATATTTCCTTTACCCTCCTCAATTTTAGTGTTGATCTCTAATGATCATCGGTAAAAAGTGGATTATTTCCATACTGTTATTCACTTCATTTCTATGAAAGATTTAATTTTCAAAACTGGCAATAGATTTGGCACATATCATTTTAAAACTGTCTGATTTTTCGATGGAGTGTTATAACGACGTCACATTTGAATGCGGTTCACCAAGAATTAACACTATGTTCAGGTTGTCTCAAATTTAAATAGGAAAAACTTGATAGGCAACATAACATGAACTTTTCTCTTCATTTTTACGAGTTGTATCGTTTATTGAACTTTCTCGATTACAATTCAAAACACCCCGTATATTCTAGTGAAATATATGATGTATATATATCTACTTTCATAGATGTTGAGGAAATGAGTTCTTATAGGAAGTTAAATTATCTCATAATTAAATTATTTAAATCACCGGCATATTGTAAATACCAGCAATTTCTTCGAAATTCCACAGATTCCTAGACGAATTGGCACCATTCAGAATCTATCTATACTGATTTATTGATATTTCTATTCTGTGGGACACATGGACAGGTCTTCTATCTGTAAGTACCTTCCTATGGTTGTTACCCTCGTGAATAAACACGAGGAAGTTATGATTTATGTCCAAAAATTCCGGGCTATTGAGAAAATTTGAATTCTTGGAGGTGATATGATGTTTTGAGATCTTTTGCTTGCTGATGTTTCAACTTCGAAAAAGTGACTATTCTCCGTATTATACTGGTAAGTATATGTTTTTCTTTCAAATTTCAGGAACTGATGGAATTGTAGATATACCTACTTATATACAGGGTCTTTCAACATTCAGTATCAAGAGAGATATCAGGGACTCATTTTACAGGTCAAAACAATACAATTATGAATGATGGTCTAGGGTTGATTTTAATAAAACTATTTATTCAAACCAAGTAAACCATGCATGTGTTGCTCTGGGAGCGTGTTGAGTCTTCGAAGTATGGAATAACAATCCATGTTTCAAAAGTTCTTGAGAAACATCTAGATAATAATCCTGCAGTTACAATTCTAAGAAAGTATCATATTCTTGCTGATGGCGTCACGTTCTTGATAAATCTTGAAGAGGCGATGCAGGCTATGCAGTTGGATATATGGAAACATCCATATACTGGGTGATGAAATGTTGTAGGCTGGTACAGGATATAACTCCTCCCTCCTTGAGATTGAAAATTGTGATTGAAATGAACAATTTTCAACTGGACTAAATTCTTCTGTGGGATTTGGGTGATTCGGTTGTTGGATCATCTGGAATGGTGCGGCTGGTTCTTGGATCAATTGATAATCGTTCGGTGCTCACTTCGAATCTTGCATTGATGGATGGTCTTCTACGGGGGCTTGTGAAGTTGCACATATTGTATATTGTTGGACAGCCATGATGTCCTGGAAAATCATCGTCTGCTCTGTTCAGGGATCGTCTGCGGATGCATCGGCGGCAACAGCATTTATACAGGAAAAATGCTACAATTATGATGGTGATGACTATACATAGATACCATATTACACTGTGATATCTTTGTGTGAACGGCTGATGTAGTGATTGTTCGATTTCTTCTTGAAATTGATTGAGCTTATGTTCAGCAACTTTGAGGTCGTCTAGATTCAAATTGTGAATCGGGATTGGCTTAAGATCTGGGATTTTCAGTTTTTCTGTGAAATGGATGCAGCAATCATATGGGATGATTGGAATGGAAACTGTCTGCGTTGAATTCGTGGAATATTCTTCGTCAGTGTATATTTGGGTATTATCGATGTAAGCATTACATTTTTTCGATAATTTCAGGATGGAATTTGTTCTGAGGATGAATGTTTGAACTGGTGTGTCTGGACAGCTTATTGTGACATCTAGCGATTTTTCT